CGACCTTAACACGAAACACATCAACAATAGCTTGGGTAAGGTTAGAATGAAATAATCATGCCCTGAGTACGCCGGACCGCACCCGACGGCGGTCAGATGGTAATAGAAATAAATCGGTACCGTATCTTAACCCCTTCGTAGCCCGGTCTCATCGGCCCCCGGGACCGCCCGAAATTGTAACAATCCCGCTGACCCTCAATTGAATGTTCATAGCGTTAAAATTGCCTTTAAAAATCTTTTATATCTTTTTTTAGCAAAGCTTTTAATGGCACTTCTCACGTCATTGATATTTTTCTTTTATTCCAATTTCAAATGAAAGATTTCGGAGTTCGAAAATAGAATGAAGGATTTAATTGGACTTCTTTTTATTAGCATAGACTCAAGTGGGTTTTTTACTTCAATCGTTTGCAAAGGTATTTCGAGTGTAGACCGAAAGAGGTTGAATTGTATAATTTGTGACCGAGTACGTAGGTTAATAAAGGTCGTGACTTCTAACTGAGCCGTAACCTATTGTGGTTAGTCCACTTACACCCTTTAAGGTTTGCTTTGAACTAAGTTGTGAGTCACTTTTGAGTACCTACTGATAAAGCTTATCTTGTTAAGACATCGGTTGTTATTATAATAGTAATAATTAACAGACAGACCGCTAGTAGACGAAGTTCCTTATTCAAGTAATTTCATTAAATAAAGAGGCTGGGACTATTAAACTAAGCACCCCACTCAAGATGCTGTCGAAAATAGATATGAATAAAGTAGGTAATTACCTACTGCTTTCAAATCTCATTAAGTTTTCTGATACATTTACTGTAAGTAGTTATTCGAGAAACCTCAAATAAATAAATACATTATTATTTACATTTTACAAGCTGAAAATAAAGTTTAATTGAGCTTAAAATAATTCATACTCCGATTCAATGTTACGGATATGTACACAAATATAAAGGTAAAAATAGCTTCAAGTGGCTGTTTTCCAACGTTTTATAAGAACAGTAGTGTACAAACTATTTTCTTTTACAACCGCAACTTTGTCGTCAAAATTGATGGCGCGTGAAAAGACTCGAATAAGATATTTCAACTTGTAGTAGGGAACATTTACGTAAATATATTTTATGTACTCACTTTCGCGCTGTTTTGAATAAAAGAATAAAGGAGTTTATTGTTTTATTACCCGAATTTATGGTCGACGTATAAAGTATCAGTTTGAATTTAAATTTGAAATCCGAATGTTTGGCGCGCTTTGTGTTTTATTTATTATCTATGTTGATTTAACAATTTTATTTATTTGTTATTTTACTGAGATAATCAACTAATAAATCTTAGTAACTATCATACTTAAATATGTATTTTATTTGAAATGACAGATAGGCAGAGATTTTAAACTTCAAATATAGCACATTCCCCCAATTCCTCTAATATAGACAAACGTTTATGTGTACTTTCAAAACGGTGTCTCATACACAGGTCTCCTTTATAGCCGTCTGACGAAAAGTACGAAATAAATTGTTTTAAGTTGAGAGACTAAGTTGGGAGACAAGGGCTAAACTTAGTGACGCAAACTTGGTCTGTGACGACGGTCTTATGAACTTTTCCCCAGTATTATGTTGCTAATTTTGTGTCTAAGTTATATTGGGGAAAAATAATTAGTGCCTCAAAGAAGCAATCTATCTTGATGTCTCAAGTTTTTAATGATATCGTTAAAAGCTATCGGCTTTGTTAAGACGTCGATAAAATTTTTGTAGCCACTTAGATATAGGCTATATTGGGTTGGTTACTTTGTAATTAACTAATTAAATTAGAGCACTTTTATTACGTCTCAAGTTTCGATTCTATGCTGAGATTTATCTTTCTTATTTCTATAGAAGAAGAAACCGAGTTTTGGTAATAAGGTTCTACTCTTCTGTTTCGTTCAGCATGCGTAAAATCTACCAAATCACTGCAGTAGGTACCTACATATAGCTACAGTAAACCAAGCATAACATTTTTGTGTTTCTAATTTTACAAAACATTCACATTTATTTCATTGCCTTTGCCATTTGCACGTTCTCATTTATAGTCAAAACATACATAAAACTAAAGCTGTTTACGTATAAAACGCAAGAATAGCACAAAATTCAATATTCTTTAACTCCACAAGAAAATAGTTTTCTCGCAAGACTGATTTACATTTAAAAACATCGTCGCACTTTAGTATGCAAAGTAACACGGAGTTAACACTATCACTATTTATTAAAGTTACCTCATAAAATGCAAGCGGATACAGAACCGCATTATCGTGCTAACTCCCAAGAAAAATATCTTAAAGAACGCGAGGACGACGTCGTAGAATTAATAAAAGATTCATGAACAAACTCACAGCTATAAATAAAGCAAAAATGCCGCTTCTTCTGCTAAAAAAAGTTCGTCTATGTAAATTTTAAACTTTGTAACACATGCGATTAAAACACAACAAAATTGTCTATTCTCAAGGCACAGATAAAAAATAAAGTTGTCAGTTTTACCGCCAAATGCATTCCGGTAATAAGACTCGAAACATTTATCACGATGTTAAATATCATAAAAAGCTGACAATAAACCGTGGTGGAATCACCGCACGTCTGCTAACATGTCGGAACAACTCCGGGGAGGTGTAAACAGGCTGAACAGGCAACCGGGGCACAATGTCGCGTTAAATATTGTGCCGCCAAACGGGACGACCCCTTTATGGTACACGGAAAGAAAAAGAAAACGGCGAACTTCATGCTTTCGATTACATAATTTTGTTTGTGTGATTTCCATTACATATTTATTTTACTAAATAATAATTATAATGATGCTAAATAATTTCTATTTACCATTTAGAAAATGAGAATGGACTGTTGAACGTATTAATATTAATTAATCTTTCTTTGTTCGAATTTCGCAGAATTAGCTGGGTTGGGCTCATCTTTAAACACAATTCTACAGGAACATTTCTACTCAGCCTCTCGCTGGTGACCAGTTCTTGGAATTACTTTGTTGAACCTGAACAAAAGTACATAATTAAAATGTATCAAGTTTTTCTGCCCTAGTATGTAATATTTATTATAGATATATGTGCGTATACGTATGTAACTCAAGCTACAATATTAAATTATACTGTTCTCTCACAACTTCCACGAACAATTTCCCATGTTGTAAAATATACAATTTTACGATGAAGCCTTGACTTAAACGGTAAACCCAATATTCTACGAAGAAAACCCGCATACTTACTTTTCTAAAAATAGAGGGCCTCGCCCCAAATATTTTGGGGAGCAAATCAAATTGTAACTTCGCCTAAAATAAAAGACATGGGGGCCAAATAAAAACGCAAAGCAGGGATAACAAATAACAGACGACTTCTTCGTAACCAAAGTATTTTATGGACGTAAATCCAGCACCATCAAACAGAAATAAAAGGAAAATTTCAAAGTGGAACAATAATCAATAATCTTTGTCACTTAAATATCAATGATAAAAAAGATAATTTGTCTATGACATTTTCGGTAGTTCGCGCCTATTTGTGACAGTTAGTTGACATTTGGTCCTTCGTTCGGATACACAGCACATTGTTCAGCGAGACGAACATCAATATTTTAAGTCCTCAAGTAAGTTGGACTTAGTTTCGTATTCTGTGCCGGGCATGAAGTTAGCCGTAGTGGCCGTTGACAGGCTACTCCCAAAGGCTAAATATTTGACGGGCGATCGCTCACGCCCGCCCTTCCAACCTCCAAGAACTTTGCCCAGTTTTTCCTTTTACTTTTAAAGTTGCAACGTGAAAAACGTGATGGAAATTCTTACTCTTGTATTTTGATTCTTTAGTATCTCGTCGACAGTGGACTGTTGAAATTAACTGTAGGTTATAAAAGATCTTTGTTGGAATATGTTCATAGCTCGTAGTAATATGACCATATAAGCTGTCTGTATTTCCTGAAGGATATAACCAAGGTGACTTCAAGGCCCGAGTGAATAGGTTGCTTATGGGACGACGCATAAGCAACCTATCCATCGTAGACCGCATCATCGGTTACCACTAGGCGAGATAGTAGTCAAATGTCGGCTCATCAAATAAATTAAAAATAAGCGAGGTCGTCAAAGCGCTAAGTATCGTTTTAGATTTTTGACTGTTAAAGAAATTTTATACTATCGCCCAATTATCTCCCCCCCTTTCCCCAACCCCTGAATCCCCAACAATCCTCAAATTCCTAATCGCCAAAAGGCCGGTAACGCACTTGTAATGACTCTGGTGTTCCGGGTGTCCATGGGCGACGCCGATTGCTTACCATTAAGTGATCCGTCTGCTCGTTTACCGGCTTATCCTTACCGACATTAATCTATTCGGTAAAAGGCAAAGGCCTTATTATGAATTATCTATATGTATTAAAAACAAAAGGACATAGGATACAGAACATACAGACCTACTAACTGACTTCGTGCTTATTTTAGTCTTAGCCGGTATTTACATTAGATAGGGAACACGAATAGGTTCACAACGAACACATTTCCCACCACGTGTACGCCTACACATAAATTTGAATTCGAATCGTACCTTGCGAAATTCAGTTATGCATTACAATAAATCCTTATTCTGGTTTTTATTTACCTTAGACAGCTATTGTAGATTGATGACACGTTGATGAACAGATGTGAATGTTATCATAGTCGTTTTTTAATTGCGACCTGCCCGACACGACCTCACAAAACCGCTGCAATTACTGTAAGCTAGGATATACAGTAGGTACAACCATAAAAACAAGTTTTAAGTGTGGGAGGACCATGCTTCGGAATGAATGCGCGTTCGGAGTGATACCACGGCCTCACAGGAAACCGACGTGAAAAACGCTTGCGTTGTGTTTCGTCGTGTAAGTGCGGTTACCGGAGGCACAGCACGATTGAATTTGACACGATTATTCCTCAACTTGACTACTCTGACGTTATACAGCTAAAATGTAATTAAAATAACATGATGACGATACGTAATCCATGTAATATGTTTGTTACAGATTTCGCATGCGACCTGCAAGCTAGCTGCTAAGAAACCAAAGGGTTCCGTACCCCAAACCAAAGGTGAGTCCTTATCACTGGCTTTTATCAATATAAATACATTGTAATATATGTGCTTGTTGTAGAATTGCCATTCTTCTTAATAATCATATTATAGTTTATCGTGGTCCTGGTGGCCGGGGGTTTGAGACGGCACTTCTCATACATGAGTATGCGGGTTCGAAACCTACCAACGGCAAGTACCAATGTGACAATTTGCCAGTTATATGTACTTTCTAAGATTATTTAGACACCACTGACAAACGTTGAAGAAAAAGATTGTGACGAGACCTGGTGGAAATTAAGCAAGCGTGGTGATTAATGCTCAATCAAACCTTCTCGTGTGAGAAGAGACTTTGCTCAGCAATAGGTATTTATAGGCTGTTGATGATGATTATTAATTATCGAACCTTAAAGCTTAATTCTACTTGCCTGTTACGACTTAGCCGTCTAGGGATAGCAAAGCACAATACATCTACTCGTTTAGCTGGTGTTGCACGAGCCGAAGCCTGTTTTTAAAAGCTTAAATGACTTTAAGAAACTACAAAGAAATATGTGTTCCCAATAATTTCTATTTTCCCCTGCCGAGTGTCGACGGCACAATATTTCATGCTCCACACATCTTCTGAATTATTTATAGTTTCTATCGAGCTATAAATAACTACACATACCTATAATAAAATCTGTTTTGACTTAGAAACGCATTCATAACACCTTTGCTATTGTCTGGGAATGTGAAAACATTCCTAAATGACCTAGGACGACTTGTAGGTAGGTAGAAAAACAATACATGCCTAACATGACTGACAGTGAAGAGGTTAAAGTTGAGGTCAGTACTGTGCTATTGAATAAAGATGTAAAAGTAGGTGAAGATAATGATGAGCTTGCAGGTAGACAAATTAGACCCGATTAATTGATTGACCAAATCTACATATTTGGTATTAGTGGCTGGATGTGAAGAACCGAAGATCGAGCTCGCCGCGTTCAGATCAGTTCCGGTAAGGCTGATGCCCTATCGGGAACTGCGAAAGACTTAACGGGTTGCCTGGGCTCCGACTCGAAGAGCAGAAGTAGGAACGCAATGGTTTATATATATATTTATAGTCAGTAGAGTCTGACACTCCTTCTCGTCTCACCCAAGGCGGCAGATGTTAATGGATGAATTTACCCGCTCAAAAAAAGCAATGTCTGTTAGAAGATGGAAACGGACCGATAATAGTAATGATGATGATGATTTAGAATAAAATATTGATCGTAAGCAAAGCCAAATAAGACAATACAGTTAATAATTTAATATTAAATGTTCTTACCCCATCCACAATAACAGCATTAATTACAAAAACTGATCACAGTAACAAAATAACAGCGATTTATTTCACAAATTGGTTATTTAATTTGTAATTAGATTATCAGATTACCTTCAGTTTCAGCGAAATTATTATTTATAGGGGTCGCTCTCAGTTGATTTATTGATAAACATGTTTTGAACTAAGCGTGTAATTTATTTAAATAGGATTATATTATATATTTAAGTTAACAAAATGTCTATGTACAATATAGGTACGCATTTGTGTTTTATCTAATGCATTGTTAGTCATAAACTGTATAATTTATCATAGGAAATCGGCTTCATTTCACGATTCAAATTAACATAAATGATGGCGTAATTTTTTTTTATAACATAAGCCAGTAAACGAGCAGACGGATCAACTGATGGTAAGTAATCGGCGTCGCCCATGGACACCTGGAACACCAGAGGCGTTACAAGTGCGTCACCGGCCTTTTCGGGTTTAGGAGTTTGAGGATCGTTGGGGATTCAGGAATTGGGGAGATTAGGGAAGGGGAGTGTAATTGGACCTCCGGTAACCTCACTCACACGACGAAACACAACACAAGCATTGCTTCACGTCGGTTTTCTGTGAGGCCGTGGTATCACTCCGGTCGAGCCGGCCCATTCGTGTCGAAGCATGGCTCTCCCACACTTAAATGACGTCTCCCACACGTCATGAGTATTTTAAAAAATAGTAACTAATACCTTCTATTTTGTAGTAGGTACCAATTAAAATATTCTTCAGAATAGTATTCTCTTCAGCGAATAAAAATGAATTATTAAAAAGTACTTTTAAAAAGGTCAAAAGCAATTCCAATTCCACTTTCAACATCAATCAGTCGAATATAAGACAAAAAGTACTTCTCAAAAGGCTATCCATTGAATGCCTGACCTACAATAGTTCCATTTTAGAATCGATTTTCTTTTTTAAACAACCTGAATATAAGGCTCACTACCTTAAAAAGTTTTTTTACCGATAGGCACCGATTCCTTGTCACTTAAGTGCCTTTAGATTTCTCCTTCGTTAGTTCATCCCTACGCCATCAGAATACGTAATTTGGGCCATTTTTGTAGGATATCAATCGACCAGTCGAACTTGAACTCTGGTGTCAATTGAAGTCCCTTTATGTATGGGTTCAAGTTATAATATAAGAATCTGTGCTAGTAAAATGATTTATGGATAGTTTGAGATTGGATTGGGGTAGAAGAAATATGTTTTCCGCAATAGACTTTTGCTCAACTACATGCAAACAATATTAAATGGGTGATAGCTTGAGGCATATTCTATTTAGGGTATACAAATATTTATCCCTTAAAGCAATATTATTGAAATAATTTAGACAATTCTATATTAATTGCCTCGTCAGTCTAGTGTAGTAACTGCCTCGTTGGCCATGTTGGGGAAGGGGTCTCGGGTTTTTTTTAATTCTCAGTAGTAGCATGGAGACTGGAGTTATGCCCGGTATATTACAATAAGGATTTGGGATTGGGTCCGGTATAATATAAATAGGCTCACCAACAATTATTATGGAAATTGCACCATAAGTGAGAAGTGGGTTTTACATTTATATGCAATTCCTTCAGAGATTAAAAAGCTTGTAATAATGTATACCTATATGTACCTCTGAACCTATGTATCCATTAATAAGTATACCCATATATTACAAGTCTACCTACATACAAAAAATACACAAACAAACAATCGTTAACCCAACAACAATAAAGGCACGAATCAAATTATTTATCAGACTTACATCGATCGCTATCAATCAACATACTTCATTGCGCATCGAACAAAAGACGCAATGTAATTGAAAACGTAACCTTCCATCGTATTTGCCAGCCTGATTGAGTTTGCGTTAGACATCGGATAGCTTCAAATAATATTGGATATTTATTTACGGGTTTTTGTTTATACACAATTTATGGGTTTTCAGTACAAACATTTGGGGTATACTTTGTTTTATTTGTGCTTTGTATGGGGAAGTGGAAAAAACGGGGAGTAGGGAGATATATATGCGTAAATGGATGACAAATACGAAAGTACGAAGTATTTAGCAAAAGAGAATGGTAGAAGGGATTTACAACTTAAATGTGTAATGAATACAGTTGAATTTTAAACAATATTGTGTTATTCGAAAACAGTACCTCAGTACCTACTATGTAAATTACATAATTCCATCTTTATAAATTCGTGTACTACAAGAAATCTAATCTTATACTGTTATATAAAGCTGAAGAGTTTGTTTTTATTTGTTTGTTTGAACGCGCTAATCTCCGTAACTACAAGTCTGATTTGAATAATTCTTTTTGTGTTGGATAGCGCATTTATCGAGGATAGCTATAGGCTATCACGCTACGACCAATAAGAGCTGAGCAGAGCGTGTGAAACCGCGCGGAAGTAGCTAGTGACTAATTACAGAATTACTTCCGAAATGCGTGTTATTACTGGGAATTTCGACATCTATAAGTTGGACTAGGCCCTATGCTGAATTAGCAAGTACTTTGATACGATCACAAAAACGTTTTAAAAGACGTAAACAGTAACCAAAATATAACGACACGTAATTAACTATAATTAGACTATAATCCTCTCTACTTAAAACTTAAATTAATGAATTATGCAAATGTATAATTCTGTACACAACACGAGTATTAAGCCAAAATATTAATTAACACCTTTATACATATATACAAACACACACACAGTTTGTACTTATATGTAACCAATTATCGGTGTTTCGTAATCCGAAATGCGTTTTCAATGTTCCCGTAAAATGTAGAATGTAATACGGTATATCGGTTTTTGCGGCTTTCGAAAAGTATAACCTCAAAAAGTTGATTAATTTTAACATAATTAACCCTTAACAACCCACAAGTGTCTTGCGGACACATTTTTGCGTTTATGTTTTCATAAAAACTAAAGTATTTATTTTTATGAATCGGCCTTTTATCTAATTTATCACTGATGTTTTACGAATCTAAATGTGCCATTAAAACATTCGTAATATGAATAATTTATTATTATTGGTCAATAAAGGAAAATAGTACTTCATCAACCCAGAAGTGTCCAACAGACACAATATCATTTTATTTGATTCAAGTGTGAAGGTATATTGTTTTTTATTTAAATTTACTTATAATATTATGGTGTCGGATAGGCAATAGCGGCTGCTGGACCTTTGTTTGTGTTATAATCGTAATCTTCAGTAATCAGTAATCAGAAACTGTTGTCAAAATATAGTCATGTTCTAATTCGTTTTTATTGAAATACCTCTATAATGGCTAAACGGCAACTAACACAAAGTGAATTTTAACGTGCCTTTGTTGAAAGTAACGATGAAAACATATATGTGAGTGAGTGCGATAGTGATGATGAGAATTTTGCTGTTGACAGCTGTTCTGATAGTGACAATAATGTGACAGAATCAGCATCTGAGAACGACGATGAACAATTATGTAGTAAAAGGGATGATATACCATTACAAGTATACGTCTCAATTTACACTTATAAAAGGAAGAGGTGGAACAACTTGGAAATCAGAACCGGACAGGCAAAGCCGAACGCCTCGACACAACATAATTTGCGATGGTATTCATGAAGTGATTCTTCCTCCGGAGCAAGCTATAATAGATCCGATAGATAGTTTCAGCCTTTTTTTCAACGATCACGTATTATAAGTACTAGTAAAAT